GCAGGCTCTAGGCTGTGCAGTCTATTTCCTAAAGGCTCTTTCCCCCAATTTCTACCTTATGACCTCCCAAATCCTGGTTCTCATACCTTTTCTGAACCAGAGCCACTGTCTCTTCCTTAGGACCTTGTTGTTGTTTTTGGTACCAGGGATTGAACCCAGGGGATGCTCAACCACGGAGACACATCCCCAGCCCTTTTAAAAAAGTATTTTATTTAAAGACAAGGTATCCCTGAGTTCCTCATTAAGTTACTGAGGCTGGCTTTGAACTCWMGATCCTCCTACCTCGGCCTCCTGAGCTGCTGGGATTACAGGCATGTGCCACCATGCTCAGCTTCACTTAAGATCTTAAGTTCCTATTTTGCCATTTTCAACCTAAGTCACATACAACACCAGGTTAATGATTTTCCTGAAGGTATGGCTTTCCTATGTACAAAACCCTGCACTGGCTACTGTACCAGTAAAACAGGCAAATTTTCAGTCAGAGATTTTGGTTTTTATGATAATGTCATTTCAGAACTTTGCTTGAGTCAATGCCAACTCAACCTTGGATTCAACTCCACTTGCTAAGACCCATGGTATTCCACTTGATCCTCACAAGAACCTTGCATATTGGCATTTTATCGCTCACATTTTATACAGGATAAAATTCAGGCTCAGAGAAATAATCTGTTCTGTCCAAGAGCACAGAATACATCATAGATCCTGAATTTGAACTCAGGAATCTATATGACAAAGCTCAGGTTCTTAGTGTCCTGTGAAACCTTTGTGGGGTTACGTGGTCCTTGAATACCCTCTTAAACAAAAGCAAAGTCTGCTGCAAGAAAAGTAATTTACCAGCATGCCAATCCACAGCGAAGAAAGAGCCAGAGGCATTGAAAGGTTCAGAGGCAGGGGAAAGCCTATGAAACCAGGGAGGATGGATGGTACCATTGTCCATGGTACACACAATGCTCACCCAATCCTGAGGCTGAACAGCCCTGGGCTTTGTACATAGGAAAGCCATAGCACTCAGGTGCTCTGGGAATTGTGAGTGAGGAGCATAACATTTTATAGGAGCAGGGCTTTTGGCTCACTGGGGTCTACCCAGGCTCCCTTGGTTTTGGAACTCCTGGTGTCAACCTAGGAATGGGAGAGACAAGAGGGAATAATGAAAGATTGATGATTGCCTGAGAACTTGTACATTTGATGGATGGTGCCCCTGTGGATCTGAAATGGGTGGAGGGAGTGGTCTGGGTTCATGAAAATGGCTGATGTACAAACTGGAATAAAGAAACACCCCAGGAAGCATCACAGCTGGGGGCTGCAGACCACAGCTATAAGCCACAGCTTTTGTAGAGTTGGCTGTTTAGGGAGATGGGCTTCAATGCCGTGACCACATGGATGAGTGTGTAATGACAGAGACCAGGCTCTGAAGGAAAGGGCAAGATGTACTGTGGGCATACCTGAGGGGGTGGTTAGCTGGACTGGGAGGCTGGGGAGGACTTCTGCAGCTCTGGGGGGTGGGGAGCTGGGCTGGTGCTGTGTGGGGAGGGGACTTCCCAAGAAGAGTGGGCAGGAGCAAGGCTTCAGAGGGAATGGAAAGAGGCAATTGGAACAGGTGCGGGGAGAATGGTGCTACGTGGAAGAGGCGGGGCTGTTAAGAAAGGACAGGCTGTGGACCCCACAGAGAGTACTGCAGAGAGTGGACGGGGAGGACAGGAGGTGCTAGAGTGGGTGAYGGGAGACCAGTTATGGGCTGCCCCAGGAGGTCAGGAGACAGATGACAGGTCTTGGAATTTGGTTGGGAGCATGCAAGAGGAAAGAAGGGCCAGATGACGGAGGTACCCCAAGAAGTCAAAGTGCCAACCCTGACCTGCTTACCTTGCCCTCCTCTGGAGTCCTTCACCCAAGGAAGTGGAGACCTCGGTAGGAGCTCAGGCCTTCCTGAGGCTTGGTGGCCTGCTCCTGCCTTTGGAGTCCCCCTCCTTCCCCCTCCCTCATTGGCTCTGAGGGCCAGAACAGGTCTGTYTGCCACCCTGTTCTATCCGCCCCAAGTTACCCCCTGTCTCCCAGGTGCCTGCTGTTTAGCATACTGATGCTCAGTGTGAATTCAGAAGAAAGGATTCTAAAAATTCACACTGGGGAGTCACTGACTGAGCCTGTTCCTATTCCTGTCACTGAGAAATGGTTTTCTTACTAAGAACAACAGTTTACACATTTTCACAAGCATTTCCTCCTTTTAATCCTATTCAATCCTCAAAAATCACACTCCGGGTATGCTTCTCAATTCATAGTGAACGTGTGACATCTGCAAGGTTGACTGACCTCCTTGCTAATGGTGACTAATGGCCCCAGCGACCACCAGAGTAACTGTGGTGGCCTGAACCATCCCATTGTGGACATGGTGGCAGCTATGTCACAGCTAAGGTCCCCCTCTTGGTATTTTACATGAAACATGAACATTTAGTCTCCATTCCCTTCGAATTTTTGCAGGTGAGACAACTCTGCTGAAAACCACACAGCTAAGAAAAAGAACAGAACTCAGGACACCCTGATTCCAGGGCCTGAGCCCTATCAATTCTTACATCTGCCCAAAGACTACAACCCTTGCTCTCCTCCAGATGAAGTGATTAGGAATTTAGAAACAAGCTCGAGATTCATCTGCACTTGAGTGTTGGCATTTGAACTACYGATTAGGGATTGTACCCACTATTAAATGTTACACTTCCCAACACCTTTCACAAGCCAACAGTTAACAGTATGACTTGAAGTTACCACATATTAGCCACGAAGTCACCTACTCAACGGGAATAATAATACCATGCCACAGCTCTGGTGGGAGAATTTGGTTGGAAGGCAGCGGGAAAGTGACTGGCCATGGCTGGGGGGAGGAGCAAGGTCCCCATGACTGGAAGTGGAAGACAGAAACTAAGTAGGAGTTTCTATTAGGGACAATTTCCGGTGTGAGAATCAGGAGAAATTTCCCTTCTCAAAGGGGAGCCTTTTGCTTAGATCAGGTCTGCAAAGGGCCTCCTGTCAATGATCTGTCCCAGTGACCTTATGGCCTTGTCCTTCCTGTGAGGTCTGATTTCTAGTCTCTCCATTTGCAGACTCTCAGAGTTGGGAGGAACCTCAATAATGATTGAGTCCAGTGGCAAAGCCCTGAACCTGAGACTCCCCACAGTGTCCCCCCAGGTAACCACTCAGAGAAGCATTTCCTCTCATGGGGAACCCAGGGACTCCTGAGGCTACCTGGGCCATTGTTGTTTATTTTCTCCCACTCCTGCAGAATAACACTCTCCCTGCTTAGAGGAAGTAGGTGAAGCTGGAATGGCATTTTTGCCAGTCCTCATCTTCTACAGTATTCGACTCTCTTGATTGTTATATAAAAAAATAAAAAATAAAAGGAAAATCTCTACTTCCTTCTTACAGGAATACTCAGTGTTGCTACCAAGAGTTTCTTTTCGAAAAGTGCAGAATCAGTTGCTTATTGCCCTCCTTAGTTCTGTGAAAAATAGAAGAGCTGTTTTTCTCTTTTATCATTTAGTGGAAAAAGACTTCCATAAATACATTTTTTTCTTTTTTTCACCCCTAGAGATAGYGAAAACTGACAGCAATTCACATCTTTATTTGCCTGCAAGCACACAGATGCAAACATGTGGCTCACTAGGTGAATGGGTTTACAGGGTTTTGCTCCTTTCCCGAGCTTGGTAGGAGGCCATCCTTCTAGACAGTCGAAATCAAGAGGCAAAATTTTGGGCTGTAAAATGCAGAGGGAGTCCAGCCTCACTCTCTTTCTTAGCATAGATATGCAATACACAAAGGAAGACAGCAGAGATGAGTCACACAAACACATAGTAAATAAATATATTTCATTTCCATCTCAGTGGCTTTTGTTTTGTTTTCCTCTTCTCTATGCCAACGGCCTTGAAATGGAGGGAGGGTGAGGAAATAGTGGGTTTGGGCTGAGTAAGGTCTCAGTAAGGTACTGATTTTTCTTGGCCCTGCTTCAGTTCTAGCTATTTCAGAAAAAAAAAAAAGAGTAGATTTTTAGATTAGACGCGTCTCTAACAACCACTATGATGTTACAGATGAACAATCTGAAATGCAGAGTTGGGACTAATAACAAAGTCAGAGACCCAGGGAAGTGAATGTTGGTAGGGGTCCTCTGGATCAACACCCTCCACCTGATGCTGGAGTGACCTAGACAAGCCAAGCTCACAACAGGGCCAGGAGAGTGAGACTTAAACCCATTTGTGCCCTCCCAGGGTATCAATTTGTGCTCATAGTCAGGGGACTATATTGAAGACAGAGACTGCCTCCTTGTCTTGCTGAATGTATTTCTCTGTAACAGAGGCCCAAGCCAGAAGCAAAATGTCTGGTTCTGGTTCTATAAGACTTATGGCCTCTGGCATGTTAGAAATGTGGCCCCAAGGGCTTGTCCTTTCTCGGATTCTCAGGGTGGCCAACAAGCTTGTAGGTTGGTAGAGAAACCAGCCCTGGCCTCACCAGGTTGAGGGACACAGGAACTGGATCTTTCACAGCCTCCAGACTCAAAGGTGGCTTCATGAAGATTTGTTTATCAAATTGTTCTTTCCTATCCCATTGCCTGTCCATGCCCACCCACCCTCAAGCCAGCTTCCCTGCTCTTGGCAGATCATGGATAAGAGCTCCACGGCTTTCCAGATGTGTGCACAGAGGTCTCTTGGAGCCCYCACATCAGACAATGGCCACATACTGCTGCCTAGGCCTTCCCAGGCATTGCTAGAAGGAGACAGCAGCAGCCTTTCCGACAGAGGCAACTGGCGCCGCTGACTAAACATTAGYAAAATCATCACGAAAAGCCAGACCCCAAAACCATTCCTCAGTCAGAGGGCTCAGAGAGCACCCAAAGGAGTCCGTGGTCAGGTGTCCACGCAGATGCCAGGCTTCCTTCTTCCTTCCAGGCAGCCCCGCGCAGGCTCCTGCACCTCCCGCCCCCACCCCTGTTCCCATGGCAAAGGAGAGGAGGATCCACTTACTGCTCGTGTTCATGGTGATGCCTTTGCACTGGGTCTTTCATTCAATACGGAGGCCCCGGTTGCTTTTTAAATCTTCCGTTCTCTCGACCTCACTCATCACCTGGGGGTGAAAAGGCAGTCCAGGGCCAGCTCTGTATCCTCAGGTGCTCTCTTCCTCTGCTGTCCCCTCTCCGCCTGGGCTGGGGCCACTGGCCTTGAAGGCGAGTGGACTAATAGGCGCAGGTGAGAGCAGGAAGGAGAGGAGGCGGGGAGGACACCGGCGGCCTGGTGCCCCCGCGCCCGGGACCCGAACACCGGGCAGCAGCGGGGCTGGCAGCGCCTGCTCGCGCGCACCCCGCACTATTCCAGCCCAGCGGCTCCGGAGCCCAAAGGGGGTGTGGACCACAGGGAGGCAGGGCGGGGGCAGCGCGTCCCCGCCCGGCCTCGGGGAGCAGCGACCCGCCCCGGGACCCACCTCTCGGCCAGCGTCGGGAGCCAGAGGCTCCTGCCCCGGCCCCTGCGACCGGCTCATGAATCCTGCCCGGCGTCTGGGGTCTGGGATTCCAGGGCGAGCCAAGCGAAATAGGAGAGCTCGCCATCCATGATGAGGGCTCACGGGCTGGCAGCGCGGGGGGCGCGGCCGCTCGCTGCTGCCACCTGCTGGACGCGCGGGCGCGAGTCCGAGGCCCCGCCCCGCTGGGCTTCTGCCTGGCTTCTGGGGGCCTGGGGCTTGCAATGGGACCCTGGTGTCCTGGGGCCAACAAGAGGATGCTTGAGTGCTTCTTTTCCCTCTCTCGATACAGGATCTASGGGCTAGACCACGAGAGGGRAAGAAACTTCTTGGGAGGGGCTGGGAAGGAAAGACCTTGCGGGAAGARGGTTCCCAACCCAGCCCTGGTGCTGAGAAGGGGTGCAGTCTAGTCTTGAGCTTGTCACTGCTGTGTGGGCTGGTCTTCCTCCCCTGGAGAAGGCGGCTGGACCCGTGCGTGAGGTATCGAGGATTCCCACAGCCTTGTACCTATGTCTCCACTTCCCACCCTTTCTCTTCGTGCCCCTTAGCACTGATTCATCTCTTCTTTCTTTCTAGAACATTAGTTCCATGAAGGAATGGTCTTGCCAGCAGGGTTAACCTTCTACCTCCAACTACCTAGAACAGTAGGTATCAATAAATATTTTGGGATAGGATGACACAGATCTTTTTAGACTCTCATACTACACAGCTCTAAGGTGGACTGGGCACCTCCACCCAGGCATTTCCCCGTTTGAGGAAAGCAGTAGGTATGTGACCTCATGACTAAACTCACGGATCCACCCCAGTTTTTGTATGGTCAACTAGTTCTTACCCCAAATTATTATTATTGTTATTTTGGTAATTAGTTCTTATAGGCGTGTATCATAGAGATTWATTTTTTGAATATTTTTAGTTGCAATTGACCAAAATAGGGTGGGGTTCTTTACATTCCTGTGCCTACTAAAACCTCCACCTTCTGAAAGTAATTCATGATAAATGAAGTGTGACTTTCGAGTGTTGAAAAACAAGMTCGGGAAAATCCCTGTCCATAGAAATAATGACATTAATGAAGAACACAGGCAGAATTAAAAAAAAAAAAAAGAAACAACAACTATGAACACTCATACCCTCAACTAATAGACAAGGAAACAGTGGGCCAGAGAAGCTGAGTTATCTGACCTATGACACTCAGCATCTTTTGGCAGACCTGGACCAGATCTCACTTCTAGCTCAGTTCTGTGTAAGAGTGACTCAGTGCACTAGAGTCTGGAGTATCAGGGAAGGTAAACTAGCCACCCTCTTAAAACTGGAGAAAGAACACTTTTTAGATTAAGTCCAGTATTTCTATCTTACACAAAGTGGAAAATATTAATATGGCTCATGACCCCAAAGCATGATAGCAATTAAAGAATCTTTAGGTAAATTGAAGGTCAATGGATTTGGAACACATTTTGATAGCTTTTAAGATTTTTTTTTTTCCAATGGGGTGGGAGCAAAAATAGCTCTAACCTCTTCACAGTAGTTTTCAGGCTTTCATATATATAACAAGCCCTGAGATACCAGAAAGAATGAAGATTTCTAGGCTATGGACTCCCTTGCTTAGCCATTTAGAGTTATTCCTGTGGATTCACAAACAAATTTTTGCTATTGAGATTGAGAGAACTAAAATAGCTTTTAAAACAATAAGTGATTAATAAATATTTAAATTATTCCAAAAGGTCTCTCTAAAGATTACCTACATAGTCATATTGAGATTTCTTATTCCTTATTCAATATATTTCCCCCACCAAGAAAGTTCAAGTGAGTTAATAGAGCTATTTCATGAATGTATTCACTTACTGCCCAAAGATTCTGTGTTTAAAAAAATGTCAGATTACAGGACAGTCGAATAAAGAACGGTATTCCTTCATCTATTCATTCAACCACTGCATATTGAATGCTCACTTAGTTTCAAGCCTGTGCTGGCTTCTGGGAATCCAGTGATGAACAGAACAGACAAGGCTTCTACCCTCATGGAGGACCAACCTCAGCCTCTATCTTATATTCTCCATCTGTAATTTGGTTATAATGAGAGCATCTACCTTTTGGGTGTTTTGTGTATTAAAATGCATAGTGTGTTACATGCCAAATGAAGTCTTGATGTCTGCTATTAGGACTGTCCTTCACTACTTATACCTACCCTCAGTGACAATGGTGGGTAGAAATAGAGTGGTGCCCATGAAAATGTGCCTTCAGAATTTTCCAACTGCAGGAAGCTTAACTGGCCAGTTCTTCTGTAGTAGGTTCTTTTTAAGAACACATCCAACTGCATGCTGATGGATTTTTAGGAAAGAACTTTGGATCTTGGACAACCCTATGAGGCTCAGTAGTTTTCATGGGGGAAACATTCTCATTTTCCTTGCACAGTTATAAGGTTAGGGAGAAAAGGGTTAAAAGAAACTTAGGAAGCTATCCCCCTGAGGATGTTCAAGACAATTGGAGGGGAAAGACGCAGGAGGAAGCTGGGGGTGGGACTTTCTCTAGCCCTGGCTGTGAAAATCATCAGGGGAGCCGAGGACCTTGCCTCCCTCCTTGCCAGAGCACAGGACTGAGAACTGTGGAGCAGAGGGTCCCTTTGTTTGGAAGTCTGTTTTGAACTTTTGAGACTCCAGATGGAGATAAACAAGTCCCACTTGGAAACATACAAATGCTCCCGTTTGTTGGAAAGCCATGTGGCAAAACCATTGGAGGACAAGTTTACTACCTTTTTTGAGGGGAAAGAGGAAGCTTCCTGGGGCCAGCTTCCCTTCTGACCATGACCTTGCCCTTCCAGGATGCTACTGGGCTGTCCACTATGCCTCTCCACCAAGGCTCCGTCTCTCCTGACTTCCTGTCCCTACCTTCGTCATCTCCAGCCCTTCTCACTTTCTGTGCCCCTCACTGCTGCCATTGACTAATGCAGCCATGGGCTCCTGACTTCTCTCCACTTGTCTTTCTGTTCCTCCCCTCCTGCTGCATCCTTCACTTCTCTTGGCCACATCAGCCTGTCCCTCCGCAGCCCACGCTGGCACTGCACCTGTTGATGAGCAAGCACTCCCTCATCCTCATCACTATGCAGAGTCCTCTGGTCTCTAAGGGGCGGGAGTGGGGGAGGAGTGCTTGTGGTCTGATGGCTTCTAGGAGCCATCCCTATGCTGCAGGCGTACCTCAGCAAGAGTGAGTACTTTTAATTTTGAAAAGGACATATATTTGTTATTAACATGGGATAGATCTACATATGATATGGTAATCATGGCACATGTTTTAATAAAATTGTAGAAAAATATATAAAGGGTATTGTTTATGGTAATTTATATAGGTGGAGTTTGTATTATATAAAACATGATACATATATGTAGACTACACATAATATTGTATGAAATAATTAAGTCATTTCCCCCACATAGGAGATCCCAATCAGATACCATATGTACATATGCAATTGGTGCTTTTTTTAAATAAAAATCTTTATTAATTAATTAATCTATTTATTTTTGTATGTGGTGCTGAGGATCGAGCCCAGTGCCTCACAGATGCAAGGCAAGCGCTCAACCACTGAGCTACAACCCCAGCCCTGCAATTGGTGCCTTTTTACTTCAAGGTCCCATATCTGCAGATTCAGTCAATCACAGATCAAAAATATTTGAAAAAAAATCGCTTCTGCACTGAACACATATTGGCCTTTTTTAAAAAAGTTATTATTTCCTAAACAATTCAGTGATTCAGCATAACAATAATTTTGTAGCATTTACATTGTATTAGGTATTATAAATCAGAGATGACTTAAGTGTGAGAAGATATGCACAGGTTATTTGTAAATACTATGCTATTTTAAATGAGGGACTGAAACATCTATAGATTTTGATATCTGAAGGGGTTCTGGAACCAATCCCTTGCCAATACCAAGGATGCCTGTGTTTCTGTACTGTGTACCCAGATGGATGCACTTCTAATTACCAAGCCCTTGGACCAAGGTGAATTTCTTGGTTATGGTTGTTTAACAAAATTACTTGTACGAGATGGAAGAAATGTTGGCAGACATTTGAGGAAGAACTGAGGTATTTATTTCTTCAATTTTTGAAGTTCATTCATTCTTTTCTTTATCCATAGCATCTCTTCTATGCCCAGCACTGTGCTGCAGAAGCCCTGGGGAGGAGATAGCACATTGATGAGCACATAGTCTTATGATTACCATCTGTGAAATAAGTGGAGAGGGGGCAGAGTGGACACCAAGAGGGAGCATCTCCCTAAGCAGGTGACATTTTAGTTGAGGCTGAAGGAGAAGAAGAGGAGTCATTCTCAGGGTTGGTGTGACGTTGAGGGGAAGGAGCGGGCATAGAACTAAGGAACAAAAGAGATCCACGGGCTGGAGGTTGAGATAGGACCTGATGCCAATGGTGTGTCTAATGSCTCCATGTGGAAGAGCTGAGTGTGTGTAGATGGTCATGGAAAACCACACTCTTAGGATTAGTGGGCCCACGATCAAGGTGGTTCTACTGGGCTGGGAGGATCCTGTTATACAATCTTTGTTTAGAAGTATGTGGTGAAGAAATTTTCACAGGATTTGCAAAAGGTGACAGCATATCTCCTAATGTCAAGAAAGGGCATGGAAACAGTGAGCAGAAGTTAGTGTCTATGTATGTGCTAGTCATTTCCCCAGGAACACCCTTAAAGTGCATTCTTTTGGTTGAAGTGGCACATTGTGAGCTTGCCACACTGCAATACAAAGCAATGCCTTCCCACAAAATGCCCAGTAACTACTGAAAGGGAAATCAAATCCCTGCTTGTGAGACAACCACACAGGTTTAACCCTTGGAGTTACAGAGTTGTTGTATGCAAGAGCTGTATGAGTTCTTAAAATTCCTCCAAATGACCATCTTCCTCGTTCAGAGTCCCCAAGGAACCAGAATTGAGGCAAGTCACACAGTGA